AGGGGTCGGGTGTAACTTTCCAGTTTTGCCCATCAATCTCCAAGGTTCAGGGCAATACTGGAAATCTGGTCTAGTTCATAGATTCAATTAATCCTACACTGTATGTGCCTAGGGTCTCACCCTGGCAGCTGAGACAGGCCACCCCAATCGACTTGGTGGCACCACAGTGTCAGCCTTGTCAGGATAGGTCTCCCCAGACCGACTCACTGGCTATGAACATTCTAAACTAACACGAGTCTCAAAAACATACCAAGGGAACATGAATCAAATATGCACTTTTATTCATTTTCAATAAACTCATAAAGTACATCATTCTGATTGAAGGTAAGGGCATACAAAACTATCTAACAAGGGAGACAACGGCAAGGGAACATGAAAATGTTCCAATCTCTGAGACTCCTTAATCTCGAACACAATGGATATGTAAGGAAAGAATCCACCAGGGGAGTACTTCCCATCTTGAAACTTATTTGAATCAACCAAGGATACACACTTTCAATAATGCCCAACGATGCCCATCACTGTTTGTAAATCAAAAGCCTTGGAGTATCCAGCCCAAAATCAATTTGGACGGACCAACAAGACATATTGGATTGGACCAATTCGGTCCAAAGCATTTATTAGATCGGATTGGACCTGATTCGTCTATAAAAAATTTATATTGGATTGGGTTGGATTAAGCCAATACTTGGTCCATTGATATAAGATAAGAATATACATGTCAATGGACCGGGTTTGGGTTAAAACCAATCTAAATCAAAATGAATTTGAACAGATTGGACAGTCCAGACATTGAATTGGACCGGTCCAAATTGATCCAAAACATTCATTAGATTGGACCGGACCTGGTCCCTTTATAATTGACTCACATTGGACAGGATCGGATTGGACCAAGTCCAGTCCAATTGACACCCCTAGAATCAAGCTCACCAAACAATGGAAGCGGTCTGCTGCCCCTCCACATCTCCAACTGTACCTCAATGCCAACAGCTAGGGATCCACGACAGACATCCAGGACATATGTTGTGATGGGAGGGCGAGTCCTACCTGAGGTTTGAGATGCTTTACCGCCATGAACTTCAGAAGCAACAATTAGATGTGCTCCAATTATGCTTACACGATCTCCTGCTTTTGTCACTTGAGAGACTGGAATACTGAGTACTTACAGAGGAGAAGTGACTTCTCTACTTTAGTTGCAAACAGTTTGTCTAGAGGCAGTTCAATTATCTTCATCTCCTCCTTCGCTGTAATCTCAAACTCGACTATGGGTCTGTTCGGGTACCGTTTCTTCAATTCTTTAAGTATTTCAGGTGTACTTCTCCCGGATGCACATATAAGAAAAACAAATCCAAACTTCGGCTTATAGCCATTATTCCATCCAACTAGTTCGTATTAAGTTAGATTCAGTTGCAGTTGCTAATGCAGTTGATTGCTCACCATGACACCACTGTTCATCCGTTGTAGTTTTCTGAGTCTGCGAATTTTGGTTTCTATCGGTGGATGAGCTGCAAATGCTTTGAGCCATCCATTCACACCTACCTTGTTAAACCATATATCGCTGGACTCTGGCAGCTTCAAGAGCTCATTCCTAGGTGGGGAAAGGAGAAGCGGCAACCGTTTCTCTAGCGAATTTGGTGCTGCCGCAGCAACCCAGGAATTCCTTCTCGTTGAAGTACAAACCCATTGACGCCTTCTAGCTTGGGAATCGGAATTAGAAAGAAAAGTTTCCCCTTCCAACTCTTATAGAAGTGAGTTTTCTTTGCTGTTTACTGTTTGACACGGTAAATATAAAAGGGTACTTTAGGATTTTTAAAAAATGTATCAGTCACATGATGTGGTGTGACGAAAAATTAATGATAAAATTAATCAATTTCCTAAACCATAAAAATACTTTAAGAAATTTGCCTTTATTATATAATGTTGATTGAAGAAGGCCTTGCACTAGCATCAGTACTCCTGTTCTCCCGTCTCTAGCTACCCTACTCTCTGTTCTCCCATTTCCCATCTCCCATCTCTAGCAACCATGTTGGGAAAGGAACGTCGAAGTGCTCAAACTCAAAATACAAAGGGATAAGTTGACTGCAGTCCACGTCTCCATCTCGCACGCCTGTCAAAAATAATCTCCCTTGGGCCTTAGTCCTTCTGACTGCTTGGTAGCCAACTCTTCTAATTGGACAGTGGGTTCGGTCCAGGACTGAAATGGGCGGGCGGTGCATGACAGCATGAGGATCGAGGAGGCCCAGGACTAATGTCGTGGTTTTCTCTTTGGAGCTTTCAAAAGGAATCCACATAATCTAGAATTAGAATCCCAAATCAAACCCTTTATCACTAACGGGAGAAATTTAGGCTGTGGACATCCAATGTTTTATCTTCCGTGGAAGCAATACTAACTAAAACAACTTGGGTCCTGGGGAGTCTTGTCGTGGAGTTGCAGGTGAATGGATGGGAAAGAATCTAGAATGTAGAAAGAGGGTGTGTTTTTGTTAGATGTATAGTCCTGGGGAGTCTCATTTCTAAAGCTTTATAGTCTTTTTGTTTCTCTAGGCTCCATTTGGTTTGTAGGAATATTCTAAAAATATATTTTTTTCTCTCATTTGTTTTGAGGAAAACAGGGGGATAGGATGAGAAAAAAGTGGGATGCGGGATCCCAAAATTATGTAATCGGGGTCACATCAAAACAGTGCGACCCCGGTGAAAAAACTCAAGAAAACTTAACTTTTCTTCATTCGCTTGAGGAAGAGGAATGTGCATTTTCTTCTTCAACTAAAGTAAGGCGACAAACCAGCGATGAAGAGTCTTCTTACCATAGACCAGCGGTGACGGTGATGACGGAAAACAGCGACGAACCAGCAGCGACAGCGAACAATCCCCCTTCCTTTCGGCAGTGGCAACAAACCAACGATGAAGAGTCTCCTTACCACAGACCAATGACGACAACGATGATGGTGAATAGTCCCCTTCCTTTCGATAGCGGCGATGAACTAGCAATTAAGAGTCTCCTTACCACGAACCAGTGACGATGACAAAACAGTCCCCATTTCTTTTGACAACGATGATGAACTAGATACTATTCATTGCCTTCCTTATTCGAACAGAGGAGGCGGTGGTGGCACAATCCTTCACCATTTTCTTCACCATGCGGTGGCAAGAGAACCAGGTCGTGGCGATCTGCTTCTTTCTCTAATCGTCGTTTTCTTTTCTCCCTTTGAATTTCCTTCTTTCTCTGATCACCGCTGCAACTCTCGACAGTGGAGATATGCTTTCTCAGCACTTGTATCTCTCTCGATACTTTTTCTACCATTTTCTCATATAAACCAAACAATGGAAAGATACATTTTTACACCATCCCATTCTATCTTTTCCCATCCCACCAAAATCTTCCCACAAATCAAACAAAGGCTCAGGTCGTGCTTCTCCCCCCCTCCCCCATCCCCACCCACACACACTAACACGGCTGTGTGTAGCCCTCTTAGAAAGAAGGTATGTGTATGGCGCACTCTGCGTATGGTATAAGCACCGACCCGTTGTAATAATGGCAATATGGATGGACTTCACATTTGCGCCCCATAGGCGCCCCCACAACGTCCCACAGTATATCTCCACCGTTTATTGGAAACATCTCCCGATCTGAACTCGGACTTATGCCTTATAATAGAATTATAATGTATACGATAACAGTAGAGAGTCAGTCCACACTGTTCAACCTTCCTTCCTTCTTGGCTTTGCTGACTAAACTCACGTGCAGCGATCTTTACTTTACTTGGAGGTCGGAGCTAATAAATTAATAACTCCGCCTCTAGCCTCTAGCCTCTAGCCCTCTACTGCGTCTGTGTCTGTATTCCTTATCTCGCCCAAAATTTAACCGTTGGAGGTGGACACGCGTCTCTTCGCCAAACCACCTGTCCTCGTCATCTTCCTTTGGATCCTCCCCGGCCTTAGTATTCCCCTTGTTTTCTTGGTCGATTAAAATCAATATCCAAAATATAAATTACACATCATCTCCCCCCTCCCTCTCTCTCTCTCTCTCTCTAATGATCGATTCTCCTACTGTGCAAAAGAACCGTGGAATTTCAAGACAAGAAAACCCTTGTGTTACGTAATGGATCATTGGGACGAATAACAATGTTGGTGTTGTTTTTGAAGGACTTCTTTTCCGGCGTCGTCTGCCTCTACTTGCTTCTTTTTCTGGGTTTTTCCGGCGATGGAGTTGACGGCCAAACAACGGCATTCGACTTTGGAACGTTAACTCTGAGTAGTCTAAAACTTCTAGGAGATGCCCATTTGAACAATGGAAGCGTACGTCTAACTCGCGATCTGCCCGTCCCCAATTCCGGCGCAGGGAGGGTCCTCTACGCTAAGCCCGTCAGGTTCCGTCAGCCGGGGACTCATTCTCTGGCTTCTTTCTCGACTTTCTTCTCATTCTCGGTTAATAATCTCAACCCATCTTCCATCGGTGGGGGACTTGCCTTTCTAATCTCACCGGACGATGAGACGGTCGGCGACGCTGGTGGGTTTCTTGGCCTAGTTGGAAGGAGTGGGTTCGTTGCCGTTGAATTTGACACGCTGATGGACGTGGAATTCAAGGACATTAACGGGAACCATGTTGGCGTGGATCTAAACAGCTTGGTTTCTTTTCAGGTGGGCGATTTGGGTGCAGTCAATGTGGAACTGAAGAGCGGAGATCTCGTGAATGCTTGGATTGATTATGATGGGTCCACTCACTTGTTTAATGTCTCTGTTTCTTACTCAAATCTCCGTCCAACCGATCCCCTTTTGTCATTCACTCTCGATTTGTATCGGTTCGTGAACGATTTCATGTTCGTGGGTTTCTCTGGTTCGACTCAGGGGAGTACTGAGATTCACAGCATCGAATGGTGGAGCTTTAGTTCCTCGTTCGATGGAGCTTCGCCTACTGGCTCATCTCCTCCACCTCCAACGCTTACTTCCATAACCCCGATGGCTAGTTCTATGATCCCAACGGCTAACACGTCCAACCCATCAACTCCTTCTTCAGCTCCTACTGGTTCTGCTACCGACGCCCAGAACCCAGAAAAGATGAGCAAGTCATCCTGTCATAACCAGCTGTGTAAGCAAAGACCCGGCGCGGTTGCAGGGGTGGTAACAGCTGGAGCATTTTTTCTCGCAGTTTTTGCTGGTGCTCTCATCTGGTTATTCTCCAAAAAGTTCAAATCGATCAAAAAAACCGAGTCTCTTGCGCCAGATATCATTAAGACCCCAAAAGAGTTTAGTTACAGAGAGCTGAAGTTGGCCACAAAGGGCTTCAATTCGTCCAGAATCATAGGCCATGGCGCATTCGGGACCGTGTACAAGGGCATAATCCCGGACACCGGTGAGCTGGTGGCTGTGAAGAGATGTAGTCAAGGAGGAGGTCAGGGCAAGACTGAATTTCTATCGGAGCTTTCCATAATAGGGACTCTACGGCACCGGAACCTCGTCCGGCTCCAAGGATGGTGCCAAGAGAAGGGAGAAATCCTACTAATCTACGATTTCATGCCCAATGGAAGTCTCGATAAGGCTTTGTTCGAAGCGATGTCCCCCCTTCCATGGCACCATAGGCGTAAAATCTTAACTGGCGTCGCCTCTGCTCTGGCCTATTTGCATCAAGAATGTGAAAACCAGGTAATTCACAGGGATGTGAAGACTAGCAACATAATGCTGGACCAAGGGTTCAATGCCAGGCTGGGGGATTTTGGTTTAGCAAGGCAGGTGGAGCACGACAAGTCCCCCGATGCGACAGTCACGGCGGGAACAATGGGGTACTTGGCTCCCGAGTATCTCCTCACGGGGAGAGCTACGGAGAAGACTGACGTTTTCAGCTTTGGGGCTGTTGTTCTGGAGGTGGCGAGTGGGAGGCGACCCATAGAGAAAGAGACCACCGGGGTCGGAAAAGTTGTTGGGGTGAGTAGTAATTTGGTGGAGTGGGTGTGGAGTTTGCACAGAGAAGGGAGGTTACTAGGAGCAGCGGACGTGAGGCTTGGTGGTGAGTTTGATGAGGGAGAGATGGTGAGGGTGCTGTTGGTCGGGCTTGCTTGTTCACATCCTGACCCATTGGTTAGGCCAACAATGAGAGCTGTGGTTCAGATGCTTGTGGGCGAGGCTGAAGTGCCCATTGTCCCAAGAACAAAGCCTTCCATGAGTTTCAGCACATCCCAGCTACTGATGAGCTTACAGGATAGTGTATCTGATTGCAATGGGATGATAACCCTATCCACCTCCTCCTGCTCCTCGAATCGAAGCTTCAATGGTGGTGGAATAGTGTGATTTTTTATTCCATCATCATTTAATTTGTTGATCATCAATGTTTTAGTTTTTTCTTTTTTCTTTTTACCCTCTACTAATGTAAATTCATTTGATTTGTATGTAAACCAAATAAAATGGAGAGCTGAGATATTTAGGTGACGTACGGATGATAATGCTGAGGCAATATTAAGTCCTCCTTGATGCTTGTTGTTGGATGAAGTAGTCGTAGTTGTACTTGAAAGCATTCATTAGCCAATCAAAAACTATATATATATATATATACATACATATAATCCTTCCTCATAGAATTGAGATGAAGCTTAAAAATTCCTGCCTTAACCAATCCGGAGGACTATCAGTGAACTATACTGTGTGTATTACCATCTTTCCTTGCTTTAGTTGCCATCAAATTAATATGAACTCTACTAATTCTCTGTACATCAATAGTATTCAAAAGCTTGTAGTTGGCATAAAAATATTCATCAATATATCATATATAAATGATGGTGGGAGTACTCGTTTTCTTCTCCAGTTTCAATAATAAAAAATTCTTTATTGCCTGATGGGGATAATGGTTGTATGGGATGGGAAAGTTGAGTCATTGAGTGAGGGGGTGATTGCTTTCACAAGCAAAGCAATGCGAGTCAAAAAAAGAGAATAAGTTGAGTAGAGAGTTGGTAAAGTGGTAAAAAGAGAATGAGTGTATACTTGACTTTGTGGTTATTCTATTCTATGGCTATTGCCTATTGGCTAAATAAGATATAGTAAATTAAATGTATTTATTTATTAGCCCACAAGGAAAGTTAAAAGCAGAGAGAGATGTTGTAAGAGTAAGACAAATGTGAAATGTGGTCGGTGGTTCTTTCCCCCTGGGCTCCTTTTCTACCTTCCCTTTTCCCTCCTCCTTGTACTAATTAAGTACTAACCAATGCAATAACCACACTATAGATTACAATCTCCCTGATTTCTAATGTATTTGGGTTTCTCCTCAACATCCCTCCTTGTCTTGTGATCTTATCTTTAATGGGTTTTAACTTTTAAGCTGTAAATCTCGAGATATCCCAAGTCCCAAGCCCAACTAAGCAGTGGAAGAAGTGACATAATGAGGTCATGTCATAAGGAGTTTGACGATGAAGGCATCCGGGCCCTTGGTTTGCTGGACTGTCTAGCATTGAAGAACAATTGAAGTAGTACTATTAAAGGATAATACCAATGAGGCAATGAGAGAGATGCCATGTGATTTCTTTCTTTTTTAATTTTCATCTATAAGTTATATTTAATTTCTCTGAATCCTTAGCATTGACATATACAATGAGTAAAAAAAAAAAAAAAGCAAATGAAAAGTTGATGCTTTCAGTATCCACTTGAGTATGAATAGATGATTTATTAAAGCCGATAAAGCTCTCCAACAAGCACACATGCAAGCTTGTTGCTTGCATTGGCGATCATCAAAGGTTTACGTACACAAACTCTGTCGATTCAGAGAGGTGGTCCAAAGTCCAAACTCCCTCGAACCATAAAAATAAATTTGCTTGTAGTTTAGTAGTGATGGGTATATATCATAATATGAATGAAACAATACTTATTGATAAATGAATGTAGATTAACAAAGGATGACTATGAATATGTGGACTGGAGGCAATCTCTAAATCTCAAAGTACAGTCACAGCTGAAGTTCCCCAGAAAAAAGTTAAACGTCACAGCTACGTACGTACGTAGAGAGTTTTAATTAAAATGGGACGGTCTGTAGGAGGCATACTTACATAGGACTCTATTTGAATTTGAATCTTATTGGTAAAGCAGGTCTTCGGATCTTATCCGATTTCAGATCCGATTTGTTTTTTTAAATTAATAAATTATTAAAAGAAAAATAAAATAAAATAAAAACAAAAAATACAAGTATTTTTTAATCATTTTCATTATATATATATATATGTTTTTTATAATAAATAAATTTATAAAATATATATTTATAAATAAAAGATCTTCTCAGATGGATAAGGGGTGGTGATCCGAATCCGATCCAATCTGAAGATTCGAATAGAAATTAAGACCCATTTGGTTCATGGGATTAGGGTCTGAAATTGGACACAAAATAATTATTCTGACTCTAATCGTTTAGTTGGGTGGAGTCAGAATTAGAATGACTATTTTTTCCTCCTCCCTTAAGAATGAGATTCTATTCCAGTGGATTCCAATTCTTATATGAACCAAACAGATTATAGGAATATCTCATTCCAATTCTGATTTCAATTCCAACTGCAAATCAAATGGGCGTTAAGTAATAAGTAGTGCATGTAATTTTTCCACAATCAGTCCTTTAAGCAACTGCAACCAAACAGTGGAGGCTATCAATTCATTGTCAGCTGGCCGTGTGAATGATAGAATTCAAGAGACACACGTCGTGTCTAGCTTGCCTGAATGCAACTGGCACTCTCTCTTATATAAATTGTATCGGTTTGGTTCCATTGCAACGGTTTGACTCCCTGTGTAACTCAATCACTTGTTAATATAAATTTATGTCTTTGGGTCTCAAAACACATCGAGAACCCCTCAATTCTGGTGTGTGTGATATACAATTACAGGTCGTAAAAGGATTTGGAAATGGGAGGCTCAACTCAAAAATTGGGAATTGTTTGGTCAAAGACGTTATATACTGTCATCTGTTCTGTTTTTATTCTTGCTTGCAAGAATAGAGAGGTGGGGAGTAAGTGGGGAAATGATGGTTTCTTTTGTAGAAATGGAAAAACCATCATTGCAATTGGATTGATCATGGGCCGGGTCGGTCTTTTGGCCTAACTCACTACTTAGATTTTGGTAGATATACATAAATATATGAAAGAATTATATAACAAAATATGATGAGGTCTCATTTTATAATAATTATATATATAAAATAATATAATATGATGAGGGTGGATTTGACCCTCTAATGACATCATGATACATGGCATTTTGAAATAGTTGGATGACACAAAGATATCACCTAAGTAATGATTTGGAGTCTCAGATTGTGGTTCGTCTTCGCCCCGACCTAGCAATCTACCTTTGTCGTTGACATGGCGACTTCGACCACAACTTAGGCCGGTTAGAAGCACTTCGTCTAGGGTCGACCTGTAGTACCTCATCACCGGCCGAAGTGACCTCGACGCGAGGAGTGACCTCCCTCGAGGACTTGCCAACCTAATTGAGGTCCAAGTGGCGACCTGCGAGACGTGCTCGCCAACCAATCCTGCATACATGATCCACCACTACCGGGTCTCTTGGAAGTTGGTCCCATATCGAATGTTCCGGAGGAGATCGAGCAAGGCGCGAAGGCTAGTCTACGTGCACGGCTACCTCCTTGGACTTTGAACCGGTTGGGCATGACCTCCTAGAGAACTTAGATGTGATGCGTGAATCCCACACCAAGCAATGCCTATATAAAGGCCTAACCTCCAACCTGACAAGAAAAGAAGTAAGATGCACATCTCAGCTCTCGTAACCCTTTAACTCTTTTACTTTCAACTCTCTTATAAAATCTCCAGTTCACTGACTTAAGCATCGGAGTACCCACCCCGGAAAGAAACCCAGGATACTCTGACACTGCCTCCTTGTAGGGCTCTTTGGAAGGATATTCAGCTCGCTAGCCTAGTCAGCTCGGCATCCGAGTCATTTCCCGACGAGGAAATTCTCCAACTCGACATATAAATTGCCTCTTAGCAAGAAAGCCACCAGCTTGGCATCCGAGATGCCATCTAGTAGGGAACTGCCGAAACGCGCATCATCATAATACATACATAATTATATTTAGTGCAAATTTCATAAACTACCCTTATCATTTAGTTAATTGACTAACTCTACTCTTATTGTTTACATATTGTCTTCGAGTATTCCTAACTTTTATAACAATTGTCTAAAACTTCCTTGCTATTAAGGTCCGCTAACGAAAAACAAAAATAACTATTTTACCCTTTATTCTCCTTCTTCAAAATAACACCTCTCTTCCGTGACTCCATGTCCCAGTAACAAAACATGGGTCCGATGGCAACACGAGAAGCTTCCTACAAAAATGTGAATTTCCGGTCGAATGCTTACCCACGATATCGAAATGAGCTTAAAACCATGGCCAGCGCTTACAGTAAGGAGCAACAAAATCCTATAGCTGGGTTTGTTTCCATTTGAGCATAAAACCATGGCCACCGCTTACAGTAAGGCCTCCCCAAGCTTCTCATTTGCCTCTGCAGCCAATCTCTTGGCTTCTTTCAATTCCTCAAGAGCATAATCTCTCTCTTTCTCAATATAAGCTAATTTCTCTTTTTCCTTCTTCAAATCTTCCTGAGAAAGATTCAATTTAGCTTGTAGTTCCGATCCCTTCAGCACTCGTGGTTGTTTTTAAAATCAAGACCAAATGACAATGCCAATGACAAGCCAAAGAAATTCCATATAAAACACAAAATTGAAGATATCTAGTTTTTAGATTTTAGAGATTTTTGTTCAACTTACATGCTTTTAGATTCTAGAGCTTTTTTTTCAACTTACATCAGGAGTAACAGTAATCCTTGGGGATCGCCGATCTACTGCAGGTTTTGAGTCAACGGATTTGGGCAATCGGTCAATTGAAAGTCGTGGACTTTGCAGAGGAGAAGGTGAGTTAGCATCTAATTTAGTTACTCCCCTGCCCAATTTGCTTACCCTTGGAGTTGCTGGTGAGGTCTTGTTGTGTGAAACTTCAAATAAGTATGTGTTTGATTTCATTTATGTTTATTTAGTAAACACTGTCATATATGTGCTCCATCAGTAAAGGCCTTATTATGTGCATCCGTTATGTTTGCAAAAGCAAAGCAAACATTGATTTGTTTGTGTCTTGCTCTTTAATGAAGCTCCTGAAACTGTTGCAAACATTGATTTTTATGTACCTCTCCCGTTAATGAAGCTTACCGAAACAGATAAGTGTTTATTGACAATTTGCTGATATGGTGCCAATAATGCCTGTGTCATAAATGACATCATTAATTGCTTTTCATGGTTTTACAATCACACAAATATAAAACGTTTACTCAATAAACTTAAACAGAACCAAACACTCTCTACATCAGATCTATTCAAGAGCCAATACTCATATTATGTAATCACGCAAACGAAAAAAACAAAAACGGTAGCAAGCAATTAAAAAAAGCAAAACGCAAAGACACTCAGAACCAAAGCAGAGTACTA